TCGGCACACCCCTCACACGTTTCGTGGCCCCATAGGGAACTCCACCGAAGGCCCCAGCGGCCGCGCTCACATGCGTCCCCGCCACCCATCCCGGCACGCCCCTCACAACAACAGGTTTCGTGGCCCCATAGGGAGCTCCACCGAAGGCCCAAGTGGCACCGCCCGCATGCGTCACCACCCGCACCCAATTCGGCACCCCCCTCACACGTTTCGTGGCCCCATAGAGAGCTGCACCGAAGGCCCCAGTGGCGGCGCTCACATGCGTCCCCGCCACACATCCCAGTACACCCCTCACGCGCTTCGTGGCCCCATAGGGAGCTCCACCGAAGGCCCCAGTAGCGGCGCTTACATGCGTCTCCGCCACCCATCCCGGCACCCCCCCCGCAGCAGCATCATGTTTCGGGGACCCATAGGGAGCTTCATTGGAGGCCCCAGTGGCGGCCCTCACATGCGTTTCCGCCACCCATGTCGGCACGCCCCGCGCGTGTTTCATGTCCCCATAGGGAGCTTCGCCGAATGCCCCAGTGGCACCCATCTCGGCACACCCCTCACACGTTCCGTGGTCCTATGGGTAGTTCCTTTGAAGATGAAACCCCCAGCTGCGGTACTGACAACTGCATATGGTTGGGTTCTTCGCCAGGCTAATTTTTTCCCCTCCCCATCCTCGTTCTGATTGCCTGGTGCTACTCTCACAGCGTGCGGTACGTGCAGCACCATTGCAGGCACGACCTCCCATGCAGCGCCATTGCAAGCACAGATGACCACCCGATTGGGTATCATTTGCATACATTGCGCTTCGAGGTGCCATTCTCGATCACGACGTTGCCCCCTATCACGAGAACGCGGACTTCGGGAGCTTCCTGCTGCACGTGACACTGCACCGACTATTCGCTCGCATGCGGCTGGGGAAAGAAACCATACGGGCGTCCAAAGGCCAGCGAACCGAAGTCCAAGTGTGTCGAACCTGCAGCTGCGTTGAGCGCAAGACGAAGCAAGTGCAAGACCGAACATTCACGCATATACACACACACACACACACACACACGTATATACAACTAGAAGAACAGCTCAAGGAAAAACTGGCACGTCCAATCCGAACACATACACACGCATACAGTCACACACACACAGATACAGTCACACTCTCTCTCTCTCACACACGCGCGAACACGCGAACACGCACACGCGCACACACACACACACACACACACACACACACACACACACACACACGCGCGCACACGCACACGCACACGCACACCCACACCAACACACACTACTCACACACATAATTACTTTCTGGCGGTAGCGGCCTCGCGCGTGGCGACGAGGCGGAGTAAAGTAGAAGCACTAATCGCGCGGTCGCGGCCGGGCCCTCAAAAATCGCTTTGGATTCGAAGCGCCTACCGACATCAGCCATCTGGTCGTGGATAGCAGCACACACACACACACACACACACACACACACACACACACACACACGCGGGCGCGCTCAAACTGTCTCGTCATACACTTTCTCCACTTGCTTGTGGAGTGTCCTCCTCTTCCTGGACTCTCTTCCTCGCCCTCCTGGACTCACTGCCTCCGCCTCCTCCTCCTCCTCCTCCTCCTCCTCCTCCTTCTCCGCCTCCTGGACTCTCCTCCTTCTCCGCCTCCTCCTCCTCCCAGACTCTTCTCCCCATCCTCCTCCTGCTCCTCCTCCTCCTCCTCCTCCTCCTCCTGCATCCCTCCCTGTTGGCGTATCCTGCTCTTGGCGTATACTGCTCCTCCTCCTCCTGCTGGAATATCGTCCTAGTTATCCTCCTGAAATCCTCATGCTCCTCCTCCTCCTCCTCGTCCTCCTCCTCCTACTCCTCCTACTCCTCCTACTCCTCATCCTAATCCTCATCCTCATCCTCATCCTCATCCTCATCATCATCATCATCATCATCATCATCATCATCATCATCATCATCATCATCATCGTCATCATCATCATCATCATCATCACATCATCATCATCTTCATCATCATCATCTCATCGTCATCATCATCATCATCATCTCATCAGCAGCAGCAGCATCATCATCAGCATCATCATCAGGCATCATCATCCATCATCATCACCCCACCACCACCACCACCTCATCCTCATCCTCATCATCATCCATCAGCCCAGCATCAGCTCAGCAGCATCATCATCATCATCACCACCATCATCATCATCATCATCATCATCAGCAGCAGCAGCATCAGCATCATCATCATCAGCATCATCATCATAGAATCATCATCATCAGCAGCATCATTATCATCAACATCATCATCATCCTCATCAGCAGCACCATCCTCATCCTCATCCTCATCCTCATCATCAACAACACGGTCATCATCATCATCATCATCATCATCATCATCATAATCAGCATCATCATCATCATCCTCATCATCATCATCATCATCACCAGCATCCTCATCATCGTCAACATCATCATCATCATCATCATCATCATCATCATCATCAAAAATCATCATCGTCAACATCATCAGCATCATCATCAACCGCAACAACATCATCAGCATCGTCATCATAATCATCATCACCATCATCCTAATCATCCGCAGCAGCATCATCATCATCATCAGTATCATCCTCATCATCATCATCATCATCCTCAGCATCATCGTCATGATCAGCATCGTCATCATCACCATCAGCATCATCACTCATCATCATCATCATCATCATCAGCATCAACATGATCATCATCATCATCATCATCATCAGCATCATCATCATCATCATCACCGTCATCATCATCAGCAGCAGCACCACCATCATACTCATCATCATCCTGATCCTGGTCTCTCCCCCTCCTCCTGGGTTCTCCTCCTCAGAGCTCCTCCATGTCCTGAGCATTCCTGAACCTTGCAACGGCACACGCGCGTGCACCCCAAACATGGATCACCAAGACTGCGCGACGTTATAATCCGCCGGCCCCTCCTTGCGGGGCCACCAGGTTGCGAGGCTGAGGATTGCAGTGCCCTGCACCAGTTCCAGTTTCCAGTACTCTGCACTCCTCCTCCTCCTCCTCCTCCTCCTCCTCCTCCTCCTCCTCCTCCTCCTCCTCCCAGACTCGCCTCCTCCTCCTCCTCCTCCTCCCTCCTCCTGGGCTCTCGAACACATCTTCCCTCTCTTGGCGTGTCCTGCTCGTCATCCTCCTCCTGGACTCCCCTCCTCCTGCTGAAAGCTCGTCCTAGTTCCAGTTTCAGTTTCCAGTACCAGTTTCCAATACCCTGCACCAGTTCCAGTCTCCAGTTTCCAACAATGTTACAGTCTTGTTTTCTGCCTCCTACTGTAAATTGTCACTGTCCGCGCGAGGGGGGAAGCCGAAACTGCCCTGATTGCCACCCCCAAGGAGGGTTCTCAGAATTTCGGGAGGGGGCCATGGGTCACGTGAAAATACTTGAGTGTCGCGCCTCCGAGGCCACGATCTCTCGTAAATTACGCCAGGTTCGCGCCCCCAGGGCCACGATCCTTCGCAAATAAAATAGTGCGTGCGTGCACGAAGCCAATAACCCTAGTAAATGGCACCGTATTCGCGTCCCCGAGGCCATGAGCCCTCACAAATTACACCGTCTTCGCGTCACCGAGGCCATACAACGTTGTTGTAACTATCTGAGATGCGCGTCCATGAGGCCATAAACCCTCGAAAATTAAACAATAGTTGCGCCCCCCGAGGACATAAGCCTTCGAAAATTACTCCATGTTTACGCTCCCGAGGCCATAACCTCGGAAAGTCCGCAAGACTCGCGTCCCCGAAGCGTCCCCGACGCCATAAACCATCGTAAATTACACAGGCTCGCGTCCACGAAACTTTAAACCCTTATGAATTACACCAGATTCGTGTCCCCGAGGCCATAAACCTTTGTCAATGACACCATAGTCGCGTCCCCGAGGTCACAAACCGTTGCAAAGTATAGAATAGTTGCGTTCCCGGGGCCAGAAGCCCTGTAACTTCCACAAGACTCGCGCCCCCGAGGCCAGGCTTCCTCTTAAATTGCGGCGCGCTCGCGCCCCCGAGGCCACGGTCCCCTGCAACAGACGCCGAGGAGCCCGAAGACCGCCCCAGCCGCGCGGTTTTGCCCACTCTGGCCTCAAGCAGCCCCGAGTCTTTCCAAGAGGGCCTCCAATGCACAGCATGTGGGGGCAAGTCCAAAGTGCAACACCGAACTCAACAATATCATCTGAATATACATCGTCCCTGCCGACTACGTATCGTCCACGCAGGAGGCTCCGACACTGCGTCAAGACGGCGCCCAGACCTCACGACGTAGCTCTCGCATGATCCATTATCCGAGAGGGGACTGGCGGCACGGGGAGAAGCCCTTACGGATAATTATTGAACGATCTGGAGAACCGAATCACATCAAGACTGCTGCAAAAGTGGAACGCCCCAGGAACATCAGATTTCCCTGAAAATGTCCCACGCTGAGTTGGGATACCTACTCAGGGAACATGACAACCGCTGAGGCGTGCCTCCTCGTCCTGGAAGGAAGAGGATCAGAGCAGAGGTGGATGAGAACGTTACCGAGAAACCCAAGGCTGGCCCCACTGTTGGGCCCCACGGGTCGCCAACGCCGGCGCCACTGTTGAATTGTTCTTCGCGCCCGTGCCTCTGCTGGATCCAGTAGGCTCCTCCTGGGGCCCAGCGGCTTGCCCCCAAGGGCCCCAGGAGAGCACCAAAAAGAGGGCCCCGAATCTCCTCAAGAAAGCCCCAAGGAGGGCCGTAGGACAGCCGCAACAGAGCCCAACCAAGAGCGGTCCGAGAGCGCGGGCCGATCGGCGTCAGGCCACAAGATGGCTCCAATGTTGTCCCAAGACGCTCCAAGATTGTGTCAAAGACGCTCCTGACAGCCGTTGGGCGAGCTCTAGTGCGGACGTTCCTCCATTATGGAGACTTTGAGGACGACGGCGACGATCACTTCGACGACGGTGACGACGACGATGGCGACGACGACGATACAAAGGATGACGACGACAGTGGCGATAACGATGACGATGACGATGATGCCCATGAAGAGAACGACGACGAAATCGACGACGATGCGGACGACGACGAAGATGACGATGCAAACGATGACGACGACAATGACGACGACGCTGCTGACGATGACGACGACGAGATCGAAATCGACGACGATGGCGGTCACGGCGACGTTCATGATGACGATGACGATTATGATGAAGGCGAAGACGACGACGACGACGACGACGACGACGACGACGCAGACTCACTGCAGGGCGCCGCTGGCAGGACGACGACGACAACGACGACGACGACGGCGACGGCGACGACGACGGCGACGACGACGAGGACAACGACGGCGAGGACGACGACGATGACAGCAGCGATGGCGATGGCAGTGGCGACGGCGATGACGATGACGACGATACCGACGAACTGGACGACGACGAGAACGACGACGTCGCGGACGACCACGACGACGAATTATGCAAACAACGAGGGCAATGACGATGACGCTGGTGACGATGACGACGACGATACCGAAATCGACGACGATGACGGTGAAGGCGACGATGACGATGACGATGACGATGACGACCATGCTGAAGACAGCGACGATGACCACGATCATGACGACGACAATGACGACGACGATCACGACGATCACTAGGACGGCGATGACGACGATAACGACGATACCTACGTACGACGTAGTCCGAAGACCGACGACGGCGACGAGGACGACGACGATGACTCACTGCAGGTCACCACCCCTGGGGGGGCGCCGCCCGGAGGCCCCTGCAGGCCCCGGCAGGACCCTGCAGACCGACGACGACGACGACGACGACGACGATAATGACGACGACGACGACGACGACGACGACGACGAGGACGGCGACGACGACGACGACGACGACGACGACGACGACGACGACGACGACGACGACGACGACGACGACGACGACGACGACGACGACAATAATGACGAGACGACGTATGGCGTGATATGAAGGCATCTGACACCGATGACGGGAGGACGAGGAGGAGAACGACGACGATCACGACGGCGGACACCCCACCCAGGGGCGCTGCCTGGGGGGCCCCTGTAAGCCCTTGCAGGCCGAGGACAACGACGACGAGGACGACGAGGACGACGACGAAGACCCGCTGCAGGTCCCCCTCCTGGAAGAAAATTGAAACAACCAAAAAAAATGTGTGTGTTTTTTATTTTAATATATATATATAAAAACAAAAAAATGGAAGCCCCTGCAGGCCCCCGCAGGATGCGGACGGAAAAGGAAGGAGGACGGATGAGGAAGGAGTAGACTCGGAGGAAGGAGCGGGGACGAGGGAGGAGGAGCCAGACGCAAGGGCCGAGGGGCGAGGGTTTCTCCAGCGCCCTTGAAGGAGCAGCGACTCATGAACAGAAACAAGTAGGTGGGCTTCAGCGAAAAAAAAGTTGCTCGCCCCATAACGCCAGTGCGAACTCACTGCTTGGTCAACTGGTCGGGGACATGCCCGACGACGTCTTCGAGGACGTCCATGGCGAGCACGGTCGGTCACGCACGGGTTGCCACTGCGACCGAGGCCACTGATGGAGCTTTCAGGCCTGCTTCCACGTTATCCACCAGGGCCAGATGCGTGGCACATGCCTCCGGGGGAACCATTACGTCCTCGTGGTCGTCCTCTCCCAACAGACCTCCAACAGCAAATCCTGCTCGCCCTAGGTGCTTCACGTACAAGTTCAAATAGCGGAGGCCACTGCCCGTACGTCCACGAACGACCTTGAGCTCAACCTTACCAAAAGCAGCCCATTCTGGAGTCTCGGCGTCGGTTTGCGTCACGCTGTAGTGATCCGCCACCGCGCCCTGAGGCACGAGTTGAAGTATCCACAGGTCCCTGCGAGTTCTCTGCATCGAATACCGCAAATATTCTTGAAGGCTCCCACAGCCCAGAGTTCTGGGCGCTCCTGGGCGCCCGCGGGCGCTCCGAGGGGTTCTCCGCGTGTCTTCTCCGTTCAAAGGGCGCGTTGTTCGGGACACGCAGGTCTCACATGGCCTGAGATGGCCCCGAGGGCCGTCCTGGAGCCCTCTCGCGCACCTCCTGGGCCAGTTTGAGGGCACTGGAGGGCGGCCCCGGAGGCCGAATCCGTCAAAGTCAAGCGGTTATGATTTTAGCACTACTGCCCGGTTGGTCTCCAGAGCGACCAAGACGGCCCAAAAGGCGCCCAGGATCGCCCAAGAGCGGCCCAAGAGCCCCCAAGAGGAGCCGAAGAGGCACCCACGATAGCCCCCGAGGTGGCCCCAAGAGGCCCCAAGATGCCCCCAAGAGATCCCAAGAGGCCCAAATCAGGCACCCACGAGGTCCCCAAGAGGCCCCCGAGACGCCCCAAAATACCACCAAAACCGCCTCCAAGAGGCTTCCCAGGTGTCTCCTGATAGCTCCTCACGGGCATGCCAAGGGCCTTTAACCGAGAACGCAGACACGGTGACGGGAGGGGCCGAAGGCCGCCAGATACCCTCCAGCTTGCTTGGCCTCTGCCCAAGACCCTGTAACGTTCAGCGTTTGGAAGTATAGATCCGCGCATTGGCCACCCAATCGGCGCGCATCGGCCTGCACGCGAAGCAAGGCGTTTTCGGCGTTGCGTCCACGAGGAATGCTGATGAGAACGTGCTTGCCCTCCGTCATCAGATCGAACCGCTCACCACGAACGTTTTGCAGGTGAGGATCGCCAACGGCAGAAGCCCCAGAAGCTGGCGGGCTGGGTGTCGCAGCGGTCGGGCTGGGCGTCGCAGCAGTAGGTTGCGTGTACGTCGTCGGAGGAGAGACCGGACAAGTTGTTGGCGTCCCAGCGCCGTCGAGCGCATTGCAAGCAGTAAGTCCTGTCCGGGACCCAACATCAGCCACAGTTGCAATTACTGATCCACCCGCGTCCAATGACTTCACCGTGAAGCCGCTCGTGGAAGAATAGCCACCCGACCAGAACTCTATATGCACTTCGTCGGAGGTTATGTCATGGTCGCACAAGATACTGTGAGTCGTGAACGACCAACACCTGGAGTTGTCAGCCTTGCCTGACGAGTCCCACGGGCTCTGATGGCCTCCGTTGCAAGGGCCGCCCTGAGTGAGCGTGCAGCCGCCGTAGGTCGGGAAAGATTCCATGAAAGGGATCGTCCGCGCACCATTCTTTACAAAGTAAATGTCATCAATCTGGTGCGTAGATTTGTACGTGACTTCGTAACCATAGACGGCAGCCGCCTGGAGAGGAGGCGGGAAGGGGGATCGGCGAGAGGAAGGAGGGCAGAGGAGAGGGGGGCGAGAGGAGAGGGAGGTGAGAGGGAGGGAGAGAGGGGCCTCCAAGATGGCGCTGCAAGATGGCTGCTCAAGATTGCCTCCAGCGTGCCTCCGGCATGCCTCCACGAGGCCCCAAGACCGCCCCAAGACGGCCCCAAGCGGCCTCGGAGCCTCACAGAGCACCCCCAAGAGGCCAAAGTCGCCAAAAGCTGACAAGTGTCCTACGGTCGTAGCCTTCTCGCACGTTCGCTTCCAATGTGTTCAGAGGCCTCGAGACGGATCAAAGATCGCCAAAGAGAGCCCGAAGTGGGAGCCGCCAAGACGGCCCCAAGAAAGCGCCCAAGAGCGCCCCAGAACGAGCCCCAAAAGGGCCGAAGAGGGAATTTTTCGGATTCCGAAAGGGCGAGGATGATTGGGGGGCCCTCTTTTTAATCGACTTCCTGCAAGATGGTCGGGCTCGGAGTTGGGCTGGTCGTCGGTGGCGGCGTCGGAGGCGGCGTCGGGATTGGCGCGCTCGTATCACAAGGAGTTGCGTCCCCATCAGCCTTCACATCGAAATTATCTAGTCCGCCTGAGTGGTACGTACTTGTTACGCAATCGAACATGATGTATCGCGCGCTCACACCGATGCTATGAGTCTGCTCTTGTGAGGTATCAACAGCGGTAGATTGGTCAACTACGGTGGTGTAACCAACGCTGGCCTGCGCTACAAATATCCCGGAAGCTGGGGCCGAATTCGACGTAAGAATTTTGTAAGTCGGACAAGCATAGTAAGACCCAATCGTCGTTAGAGATGGCTTGAGTTTCACAGACTCAATGTATCTGGTGTAACCGAGATCAAAAGCGAGCCATTCCGCGTCGGTCTTGTCAGTGCCACCGCATCCGCCAGAATTTCCCAACGAATTCGTTGTGACATGGTTGTTCAATTTGCAATCGGGCCCTACCCAGCCATTGCCGTATGAGGCATGAGGGCAATTGTAGATCATGTTCTCGGGGTGGAAGACATAATTGTTGTTGCACGCTCCATTCTCATACCTGTGCAAGGGCTCGCCATAGTAAGACCCGATACCAGCAACCCTGAGACAACTCATGGGGAGCCAGTTATTGCCAAGATGACTTTCGTTGGCGATCGCGTCGATGTTACTGTCGAGCTTGTGCCCGCCCTGCCGAACCAAGGCAGACACGGCAGACGCCAGCACGAAGCACGCGAGCACCACTTTCACGACCATGGCGAGCGATCTGGCGTAAAGAAGCGAGAGTGGCAGAACTGGTCCGGTTGGAGCAAACACTCGAGCAACAAGCAGCACCGAGCGCGACCACGAACCCAAATGGGCGACATGCCGAGGTCATCGACAGCGGCCTGCTCTGGGGGCCGAGGTGGTCTATCCGGGTGGCCTGGCCCGGCGAAGCCCCACTAAAGCCCTCTGGGGCCGAGGCGGTGCCGAGCGCGGCCTCCTCCAGCGCCCGCCTTCCCCCGTCGGGGAGGGTGCCCCCTGCCCCCTGCCCTCCTCCCCAGTCGGGCCTGGACGCCCCCAGGCGTGGCCCGATAGGCAGCCCCTGGGCGCGGACCCCGAGGCGTCGGCGAGTGGCCAGAGCGCCCAAGACGGCACGGGCCGGCTCCAAGAGGGCGCCGGCAGCTCGAGGCGGCCCCCAGGGCGGCCCACGGTGCCCCGAGACGGTTTCCGGAGAGGGCCTCCAAGATCCTTCCAAGAGGCACCAAGACCCTCCCAGGACGGAGTCTCGCCCAAGGCGGTCCAAGATGGACTCGAAGATGGCCCCCTGACGGCCGAGATGGCCCAAGATGGTCTCCGAGATGCCTCCAAGGCGGCCAAGATGGCGCCAAGAGAGCCCAAGATGGCCCCCAGATGCACCCAAGACGGACCAAGATGGCCTCAAAACGGCTCAAGAGGCCTCCAAGAGGTCCTCGGGAAGGGCCCGAAGTGGCCAAAGTCATTGAGTTGACTTAAGTGTTTGAAGGATTTTGCCATGTGCTTCTTTTCGGCCTTTCGACGGCCCAAGAGGGCCCCACGATCGCCCCAAGATGGGCTCAAGAAGCCTCCAAGACGGCCCCAAGAGGGCCCAAAGACGGCCCAAGAGGCCTCCAAGACGTCCATGGTGGCCTCCAAGACGGCCCTGAAGCGCCCCAAGAGGGCCCCAAGTCGGTCCAAGCAGGCCCCCAAAACGGCTTCCGACGGCGTCTGACGGGCCACGAACGCCCTAAGACGGCCATAGATGCCCCCAGGAAGCCGCAAAGGCCCCCGAGAGGCTCAAGGAGGCCTCCGAGAGGCCTCCGAGAGGCCCACAAGAAGCTCCCGGAACGCCCCAAGAGTCCTCCTCCTCCTCCTCCTCCTCCTCCTCCTCCTCCTCCTCCTCCTCATCATCATCATCATCATCATCATCATCATCATCATCATCATCATCAGCATCAGCATCAGCATCAGCATCAGCATCAGCATCAGCATCAGCATCATCATCGTCATCATCATCATCATCATCATCATCATCATCATCATCAGCATCATCGTCATCATCATCATCAACATCATCGTCGTCATCATCATCATCAGCAGCAGCAGCATCAGCATCGGCATCATCATCAGCATCATCATCAGCATCATCATCATCGTCATCATCATCGTCATTGTCATCATCATCAGCAGCATCATCATCAGCATCACCATCAGCAGCATCAAAAGCATCAGCATCGTCACCATCATCATCATCGTCATCGTCGTCGTCATCGTCATCATCATCAGCATCAGCATCAGCATCAGCATCATCCTCTCCATTTGTCCTTCCTCTCCTCCGTTTCTTCTTTCTCACCCGCGTGTTACTTGAAGGGTTTCCATACGGCTGGGGGAACACATGGTTGGATAGCTTGGCAGAGCTCTAGCCACAACGTTCGGCCACATGGGCGAGTCAAAAAGGCAGGGGGCCGAGAGGCCCACAAAAAGCTCCCAAAAGGCCCCAAGAGTCCTTCTCCTCCTCCTCTTCCTCCTCTTCCTCAGCCTCCTGCGCCTCCTCGTCCTCCTACTCATCATCATCGTCATCAGCATCAGCATCATCATCACCACCACCATCATCGTCAGCATCGTCAGCGTCATCATCACCACCACCACCACCATCAGCATCATCATCAGCACCAACATCATTATCATCATCATCCTCTCCATGTGTATTCCCTCTCCTTCTCTTCGTCTTTCTCCCCCGCGTACTTCCCCAAGGATTTCCACAACGACTGGGGGGACGCATGGTCGGATAGCTTGGCACGGCTGTGGCCACAACGTTCGGTCACATGGGCGATTCCAAAAGGCAGGGTGCCGAGAGGCCCACAAGAAGAAACTAGCAGGTCCCGAAAATCGTCCTCCCCCTCCGCCTCCTCCTCCTCCTCCTCCTCCTCATCCCCCATCCTCCTCTGCAGCTTCCTCCGCTTCCTTCTACTCCTCCTCCTCCTCCTCCTCCTCCTCCTCCTCCTCCTCCTCATTCTCCTCCTCGTCCCCCTCCTTCTCCTCCTCCTCCTCCTCCTCCTCCTCTTCCTCCTCCTCCTCCTCCTCCTGCTACACATCATCATCATCATCATCGTCATCATCAGAAGCATCAGAATCATCATCAGCATCGTCATCATCCGCATCATCATCAGCAGCAGCATCATCATCATCACCACCACCACCACTATCATTATCAGCAGCATCAGCTCCAGCATCAGCATCAGCATCATCATCAGCAGTATCATCATCAACAGCAGCATCAGCATCAGCATCATCATCAGCAGCATCATCATCATCATCGTCATCATCATCGGCAGCATCAGCATCAGCAGCATCATCATCATCAGCAGCATCATCAGCAGCATCATCATCAACACCATCATCATCATCATCAGTATCAGCATTAGCATGATCAGCATCATCGTCAGCAGCATCCTCATCACCAGCATCAGCATCATAAACATCGTCAGCTGCATCATCATCAGCATCATCATCGTCAGCAACATGACCATCATCATCATCCTCATCATCATCAGCATCATCATCATCATCATCATCATCGTCAGCATCGGTATCAGCATCAGCGTCATCAGTATAATCGACATCAGCATCAGCATCATCAACACCATGAGCATCGCCAGTGCCAGCGTCAGCATCATCATCAGCATCGTCAGCAGCATCATCATCATCATCAGCATCAGCATCAGCATTATCATCAGCAGCAGCAGCATCATCATCACCACCACCACCACCATCATCATCATCGGCAGCATCAGCATCAGCATCATCATCATCATAAGCAGTATCATCATCAACAGCAGCATCAGCATCAGCATCATCATCAACAGCATCATCATCAACATCATCAGAATCGCCATCCTCATAAGCATCATCGTCACCAGCATCATCATCATCAGCAGCAGCATCAGCAGCATCATCATCAACACCATCATCATCATCAGTATCAGCATCAGCATCAGCATCATCAGCATCATCATCAGCAGCATCCTCATCACCAGAATCAGCATCATAATCATCGCCAGCAGCATCATCATCAGCATCATCAGTATAATCGACATCAGCATCAGCATCATCAACACCATCAGCATCGCCAGTGCAAGGGTCAGCATCATCATCAGCATGGTCAGCAGCATCATCAGCATCATCAGCATCATCAGCATCATCATCGTCAACACAAGCATCAGCAGCGTCATAAGCATCGTCAGCATCAGCATCAGCATAATCATCATCACCACCACCACCTTCGGCATCATCATCAGCAGCATCAGCATCATCATCGTCATCCGCAGCATCGCCATCATCACATCATTCTCATCAGCAGCAGCAGCACCATCATCGTCATCATCATCAGCATCATCAATATCATCACCATTATCATCATCAGCAGCGTCATCACCAATCTAATCACCATCAGCATCAGTTTCAGCATCAGAATCATCCTCAGCAGCAGCAGCCTCAACGTCGGCAGCATCATCATCATCAGCAGCATCAGCAGCATCGTCATCAGCATCAGCATAATCAGCAGCACAAGCATCAGCAACATGAGCATCATCATCATCATCATCATCATCATCATCATCATCATCATCATCATCATCATCATCATCATCATCATCATCATCATAAGCATCATCATCCTTGTCCTAACCATCCTCATCATCATCGTCATCATCATCAGCAGCAGCATCGTCAGCATCATCATCATCATCATCATCATCATCATCATCATCATCCTGTTCCTTTGTCCTCCCTCTCATCCGCTGCTTCCTTCTCCCCCACGTGTTCCCCGAAGGATTTCCACAACGACTGGGGGAACGCATGGTCGGATAGATTGGCAGAGCTCTGGCCACAACGTTCGGCTACATTGGCGATTACAAAAGTCAGGGGGGGGAAAAGGCCCACAAGAAGCAACTAGAAGGCCCCAAGAGTCCTCATCCTTCTCCTCAGCCTCCTCCGCCTCCTCTCCTCCTCCTCCTCCTCCTCCTCCTCCTCCTCCTCCTCCTCCTCCTCTTCATCAGCATCGTCAGCATCATCAGCGCACCATCAGTCATCAGTAGCATCAGCATCATCAATCATCATCAACAGCATCAGTCATCAGCATCAGCATCATCATCATCATCATCAGCAGCACCATCATCATCATCATCATCATCATCATCATCATCATCACCATCATCATAAGAATCATCATCATCAGCAGCATCAGCATCATCATCAGCAGCAGCATCATCATCAGCAGCATCGTCGTTTTCCTCTCCCTTTGTCATCCCTCTCCTCCGCTTCTTCTTTCTCCCACGCGTGGTCCCCGAAGGATTCAACAACGGCTGGGGAAACGCATGGTGGGATAGCTTCACAGAGCTCTGGCCAGAACGTTCGGCCACATGGGCGATTCCAAAAGGCAGGAGACGGCGGTGATCCACCGTAGGCGTCTTCGATCATGAACGCCCTCGGATCCTCCAATGGGACGGTGTTCGCACCACACGTCTCACCAGCACTCCGGTTCAAGACGCTTCTGGTCCACGATCCAGGCGCAGTGGCCTGTGGTTAACGACCCACACACGGTGGCGGGTTGTCCCTCATGTCGCTTCCATCGGTTCTCTCTTCGCCCCATTTCTGCCACTGACTTCCGAACCGTCCTGTGGTGTTGGGTCCTCGTTTGGAGGAGACGGTCCCCGCGTTCCCTCGCTCCTTTCCATCCCTCCTTCCCTCCTTCCTCCTCCCCTCCTCCCTGCACCGCCCGCATGCGTCACGCACACCCAATTCGGCACATCCCTCACACGCTTCGTGGCCCCATAGGGAGCTCCACCGAAGGCCCCAGTGCCACTGCCCGCATG